GGACAGCGCTATATCCAATATAGGAGGCGGTAGCCCTACCATTCGTGTTTCTTGCTAGGGAGCAGTTCAAGCCAGATGGACTGAGCTCCCAAGTCAACATGAAATGAATTTGTTCTGTGAGTTCTTCTGGGGAGTTTGACTTACCATACCACTCATCAACCCATGCAAAAGCCTGTCTATGTCCAATCAGCAGAATATCTCGGACCACCTAAAAAAAGCAAAATAAGGGGGTTGAAATAATACCATGTTGGAGTAAAACTATCTGGAAAACAGGTCGTTCCCAATTCTGGGAATCCTGGCATTTACCAATTTCTCAATCCCTCTGTCCACGTGATGACAATTGTAGTCCGCCATGCACAGGCATTGTGCTTGCTCACCCCCAGCCATACTTACTGTAAATTAGTCACTTCCTCTCGTTTGAAAGTCAGGCTAGAGGTGTGTAAAACTAACGACAACTGCTTGGCAGTCACACGGCAGTGACTGGAATGAGTCTCTAGACTAACCAGCTTGAGATTTGCTCTTCATTTCTCTTTACCTAAAACAGGTTCTACTTTTCCTTTGTGGAAGGGTGTGTCTCACTGGTGCCAGGAGGTCATGAGTTGGAAACTAACAACACTTTACTGGGTAGCAAGTCACTTCCAAGCAAAGAGCACTTAATCCTTTTTTCTCTGGTGAAATATCGTAAGTATTAGTTAATTTTTAAAAATAACTGAAGGTGTGGGATCAAGATAAGTATCTTCTTAGGCTTGATTTTCATGTAACAGCAGGAAAAAAAAACCAAAACAGTTTAGTCAACTATTATCGAAAAGAGATGAAGTAAGAGACCTAAACTAGAATTGAACACAGTGGGAAAGAAAAGCCTGACTGGAGACAAAAGGAATGAAATTGTTTCTTATGGTGACACATAATGGCAACAGGAGACTAAGAGAAAAAAAAAAGTAGTTTGTGAGTGTCTAACACTGTTCATTTGCTTTTATTTTGTTGTATTCTTTTTTTGTCCTCTCTAAACTTGCCATTTTATGTTTCTTGGAGGTTCACACTCTCCCTACAACATTCCTTTCTCCTGCCGAACAAATCTAGCAATTGTCAGAAAATTCTCATGGGAGGTTCAAGCATGTTTCAATAAAGGAAGGGTTTTAATTTGGTGAATTTGCAGAAACAAGGAGAGTGTTCATAATGAAGTATTTATTACTCTAGGCCTCTGGATAGCTCATGAGGCTTTTATGATTTGGAAGGAGGAACCATGCAATGAAAATAAGGAGCACGAAGCCATGCACACTCGGGTGCTGAGTATGTCAAATTCATGGACATCAAAAGAACAGCACTGAGGCATCAGTAAAATATACCCTATTACATTAAGCACAACACAGCTGTCTGCTGGAAGCAAGAATTCAATAATGTGCTAATGGCTTGCTTTCGAACATTTTTTTCTCTTGACTGTGAATAGATTCTTAAAAAACAAAGGTGTTCAGAGAAAGGCATCCCTGGCACTTTAAAGCCCATGCAAATTCTAGCCTCAGATACTCATTAGCGACTCATGTGCCAGAGCAGGTGTGTTTTTAGGGCGTTGATAGCACTTCATTATATTTGGAAATTGGCACTAGGGATGCCTATTCAGAGACAGTAATTCTTACAGGTATTTTAAAGAAATAGATTCTCAAAACTAGCCAAAAGAAACACAATGAGCCCTGTGGCCATCTAACAATGCTTTGTGAGAGGAGGATATAGTAAAAGACATATATAGTGAAATGCACTATGTAGTTCATTGAGTTTAAAAAAAGGGTGGGGGGAGGAGATGCTATAGGAAGTCAAGGAAGATAGGGCCTGAGATAGACACAGAGCTGAGGTTGGAAAATATTTTCTCTGGGAGCCCTATCTTCCTGCTTAAGAACTGGGACACAGCAGGAAAACAGGAGCTCCCACAACTTGGTTTCTATGGGTCTCACTCAGCTGCCACGGCTGGTGAGGCGGAACGGCTCCTGGAGCTCAGCAGATTGGCACACTTCTCTGTTCAAGAAAAGACCAAAGCTCTCACATTCATTCTAGAGTCTGCTATGATCATGAGCCCAAGTTCAATCTATTCCTTGGACATAATTTCAAGACCTATACATTTTACTGTCAGTTGGCCCTCAGTCTCAGTAGACAAATCCATCCAAATAACAAAAAGTTCGGCCCATGAGGGTTAAATTCCAGGGCGTCTGAAAGAATTTCAGAAAGCTATTCTTTATCAGTTTTTAAGTGGAAAAACAAACAGATATCCAGTCTATCTGGAATGTAGAGACAACTTGGGGAGTATTTATTTTTATGAAAATGGGAGGCATTACAAAGGGCAATGATCAGCAACACATTTCCCATTTGTTTCCATGAGGCTTAAGAGTCATGTTGGAAGCCCGTGACAAACTGAAGTCATCACCACGTGGGTTCTTGCTATGAAACTGACATGTGCCAGAGCAAAGGGGGTATACAACTGAAATCTGTGTTTTAAAGACGTGAATTATATGTTGGCAACAGGATTATTAAATGAGCGGAAGTGCTGAGGTGCCCCATGTAATGGACTACCATGATTTCTTGTTTTGTCTCTAGGGATGTCTTCTACACATTTGCGATCCCATTTGCAGGGGCTTTTGAGTGGTAAGTATTCCTGGAGGCTGCATACACAGATAAGTCCTATACCCCTGCCTGGAATCCACGTACCCAAGTACCATGTATGAGGACCTCTGCCTGCAACTACATTAGCCCAACGCCAAAGGGAGAAGTATGTTCTGAAAGCCCAGCTTCCTGAATATACTCACCCACAGACATGGAAGTCATGGAATGAGAGATGAAGTGGAAGAAAATGAAACCCCTATGTGAGATCCATTTTCATGAAAACAGGGTGTTTTAGATGCAGTCACCTCGTGTTGGCTAAGGACGGGTATGTGTGATGTGCATGATATAATATATACTCCAGCTTACAATAAAGGCAGTCAGTTTGTCTCCAGCCCTGTAACTGCCATTTGTTCACTTACCTTGTGTACAAATTGTTCCACTCTGGTCTGAAGCCCCCAGACCTCGAACTTCACGGTCACCAGCTTGTAGGAACACATGATGGGCTGATGACTATCTCTCCAGCCTTCCCTTAACTGTCCCCTTCCTGTCTTCTCTGACTTGAAGTGTTTAGGATCCTAGAAAAAATTTATCAAAGAAATGGTACCTTAAAGTTGAACCATCATTTATATGAAATGTGCAGAATAGGTGAATCCATGGAGACAGAAAGTAAACTAGCGGTTGTCAGGGTCTAGGGAAAAGGCAGGACGGAGTGACTGCCAATAGGTAAAATGTTTCCTGCTGGGTGATGAAAATGTTCTGGAATTAGGTAGTGTGATGGTTTCACAACCTTGTGAATATAAAAACCACAGAATTGTACATGTAATTACAAGGGTGAATTTTATAGCATCTCAATTAAAAAGGGGCTTACAGTATAAGTAAGTGGTGAAAAAGTAGCTCATCTATTTACAAGTCAAAAAAAGTGATTTAAAGTTAGATTTGTGACATTGCACTGTATTTCTTTCTCTGATCTTAGGGATAATACACTTTATAGAAGTCAACTCCATTAATGCACAGTGTAAATTATTTCAGCAACTTTAGGCAAATATCCAGCAACATTTATGAATATCTATGAAGCTAAGCATATGCCTACCTATGACCTGATAGTTCCATATCTGGGTGAAATGACTGAACTAGAAAACTCACAAATGCTTTAAGCATAATGGGCAAAAACTGGGAACAGTTCAAATGTTCCTCAGCAGGAAGACAGATCCATTGTGGGATAGTTATGCAGTGGACTGCTACACACCAGTGAAAAAGAACAGCCTGCTGATGCAAGCAAGAACAACTCTCACAGACACTGTGGGAAGTAAAAGTAACCAGACACAACAGTGTACACATTATATGATTCCAGCTGAAGCTCAAGAACAAGGAAAACTTTACCCATGGTGTTAAAAGTTAGAATAGCAGCAGTAACCTCTTGGAAGGGAGGGGAAGTGTGAAGAGACACAAGGGAAATCTCTGGGATGATTACATGTTGATCTCGATGTAATATGTAAAAATTAGACAACAACATTAATAACAATCACTCCTTTGCCCATGCAGTCAGATGTATCTTTTCACTTTAAATTTGATACCTTCTGCTAAAAGGAGGGAGGAACTTGGTGGGACAATGACCGAAGAGCAATAAATGCAATCTAGGTTACACTCAAAACAAATTCATTGTGACTTCGGGGAAGGCCAAGGAGAAGGGCCTTTCATTAGATAATCAGCTCTAACGCAAGTCACCAACCGGGCGTGTTCATTTCTATTTATAGTCAAGGACACTGGCCCCCCAAGGACTGATTCTGGGAATGTAGAGGATTCACGTGGACAAAATGATAGTGCTGAGGACCTGGGAAGGTGGTTCATCCATCACAGGACCAAGTAAACCTTGTTTTCATTTACTGGAAATGTGCAGAATTTGTTTAAGTCTTCCCAAATCATGAAAAAAAAAAAGCCACAACAATATCTCAGGGTAAAGGGACACCTATGCCTCTGCCCTTGAATTCTTGCCGAATCCTTATGTGCTTTTGGTGAGGGAACGTTTTAAGTGTTCTCTGAATCAAAGGACTGCTTTTGCTTGATATGATGCATCAGACAGCTTTGATCCTGAATGGAAGTTTGAGATAAACCAAGATGGGTTTGAAACCCATCCAACAGAGAAATATGGAGCCCTGCATTATCAACTATGCAAGCCTCAAACATACCGAGGGAGTACTTAGTAACTGAATACCGTAGTTATTTTAGACTGAACTTCTACCATCACATTCTTCTTCATTATGTTGGGTGGACAGCGCTATATCCAATATAGGAGGCGGTAGCCCTACCATTCGTGTTTCTTGCTAGGGAGCAGTTCAAGCCAGATGGACTGAGCTCCCAAGTCAACATGAAATGAATTTGTTCTGTGAGTTCTTCTGGGGAGTTTGACTTACCATACCACTCATCAACCCATGCAAAAGCCTGTCTATGTCCAATCAGCAGAATATCTCGGACCACCTAAAAAAAGCAAAATAAGGGGGTTGAAATAATACCATGTTGGAGTAAAACTATCTGGAAAACAGGTCGTTCCCAATTCTGGGAATCCTGGCATTTACCAATTTCTCAATCCCTCTGTCCACGTGATGACAATTGTAGTCCGCCATGCACAGGCATTGTGCTTGCTCACCCCCAGCCATACTTACTGTAAATTAGTCACTTCCTCTCGTTTGAAAGTCAGGCTAGAGGTGTGTAAAACTAACGACAACTGCTTGGCAGTCACACGGCAGTGACTGGAATGAGTCTCTAGACTAACCAGCTTGAGATTTGCTCTTCATTTCTCTTTACCTAAAACAGGTTCTACTTTTCCTTTGTGGAAGGGTGTGTCTCACTGGTGCCAGGAGGTCATGAGTTGGAAACTAACAACACTTTACTGGGTAGCAAGTCACTTCCAAGCAAAGAGCACTTAATCCTTTTTTCTCTGGTGAAATATCGTAAGTATTAGTTAATTTTTAAAAATAACTGAAGGTGTGGGATCAAGATAAGTATCTTCTTAGGCTTGATTTTCATGTAACAGCAGGAAAAAAAAACCAAAACAGTTTAGTCAACTATTATCGAAAAGAGATGAAGTAAGAGACCTAAACTAGAATTGAACACAGTGGGAAAGAAAAGCCTGACTGGAGACAAAAGGAATGAAATTGTTTCTTATGGTGACACATAATGGCAACAGGAGACTAAGAGAAAAAAAAAAGTAGTTTGTGAGTGTCTAACACTGTTCATTTGCTTTTATTTTGTTGTATTCTTTTTTTGTCCTCTCTAAACTTGCCATTTTATGTTTCTTGGAGGTTCACACTCTCCCTACAACATTCCTTTCTCCTGCCGAACAAATCTAGCAATTGTCAGAAAATTCTCATGGGAGGTTCAAGCATGTTTCAATAAAGGAAGGGTTTTAATTTGGTGAATTTGCAGAAACAAGGAGAGTGTTCATAATGAAGTATTTATTACTCTAGGCCTCTGGATAGCTCATGAGGCTTTTATGATTTGGAAGGAGGAACCATGCAATGAAAATAAGGAGCACGAAGCCATGCACACTCGGGTGCTGAGTATGTCAAATTCATGGACATCAAAAGAACAGCACTGAGGCATCAGTAAAATATACCCTATTACATTAAGCACAACACAGCTGTCTGCTGGAAGCAAGAATTCAATAATGTGCTAATGGCTTGCTTTCGAACATTTTTTTCTCTTGACTGTGAATAGATTCTTAAAAAACAAAGGTGTTCAGAGAAAGGCATCCCTGGCACTTTAAAGCCCATGCAAATTCTAGCCTCAGATACTCATTAGCGACTCATGTGCCAGAGCAGGTGTGTTTTTAGGGCGTTGATAGCACTTCATTATATTTGGAAATTGGCACTAGGGATGCCTATTCAGAGACAGTAATTCTTACAGGTATTTTAAAGAAATAGATTCTCAAAACTAGCCAAAAGAAACACAATGAGCCCTGTGGCCATCTAACAATGCTTTGTGAGAGGAGGATATAGTAAAAGACATATATAGTGAAATGCACTATGTAGTTCATTGAGTTTAAAAAAAGGGTGGGGGGAGGAGATGCTATAGGAAGTCAAGGAAGATAGGGCCTGAGATAGACACAGAGCTGAGGTTGGAAAATATTTTCTCTGGGAGCCCTATCTTCCTGCTTAAGAACTGGGACACAGCAGGAAAACAGGAGCTCCCACAACTTGGTTTCTATGGGTCTCACTCAGCTGCCACGGCTGGTGAGGCGGAACGGCTCCTGGAGCTCAGCAGATTGGCACACTTCTCTGTTCAAGAAAAGACCAAAGCTCTCACATTCATTCTAGAGTCTGCTATGATCATGAGCCCAAGTTCAATCTATTCCTTGGACATAATTTCAAGACCTATACATTTTACTGTCAGTTGGCCCTCAGTCTCAGTAGACAAATCCATCCAAATAACAAAAAGTTCGGCCCATGAGGGTTAAATTCCAGGGCGTCTGAAAGAATTTCAGAAAGCTATTCTTTATCAGTTTTTAAGTGGAAAAACAAACAGATATCCAGTCTATCTGGAATGTAGAGACAACTTGGGGAGTATTTATTTTTATGAAAATGGGAGGCATTACAAAGGGCAATGATCAGCAACACATTTCCCATTTGTTTCCATGAGGCTTAAGAGTCATGTTGGAAGCCCGTGACAAACTGAAGTCATCACCACGTGGGTTCTTGCTATGAAACTGACATGTGCCAGAGCAAAGGGGGTATACAACTGAAATCTGTGTTTTAAAGACGTGAATTATATGTTGGCAACAGGATTATTAAATGAGCGGAAGTGCTGAGGTGCCCCATGTAATGGACTACCATGATTTCTTGTTTTGTCTCTAGGGATGTCTTCTACACATTTGCGATCCCATTTGCAGGGGCTTTTGAGTGGTAAGTATTCCTGGAGGCTGCATACACAGATAAGTCCTATACCCCTGCCTGGAATCCACGTACCCAAGTACCATGTATGAGGACCTCTGCCTGCAACTACATTAGCCCAACGCCAAAGGGAGAAGTATGTTCTGAAAGCCCAGCTTCCTGAATATACTCACCCACAGACATGGAAGTCATGGAATGAGAGATGAAGTGGAAGAAAATGAAACCCCTATGTGAGATCCATTTTCATGAAAACGGTGTTTTAGATGCAGTCACCTCGTGTTGGCTAAGGACGGGTATGTGTGATGTGCATGATATAATATATACTCCAGCTTACAATAAAGGCAGTCAGTTTGTCTCCAGCCCTGTAACTGCCATTTGTTCACTTACCTTGTGTACAAATTGTTCCACTCTGGTCTGAAGCCCCCAGACCTCGAACTTCACGGTCACCAGCTTGTAGGAACACATGATGGGCTGATGACTATCTCTCCAGCCTTCCCTTAACTGTCCCCTTCCTGTCTTCTCTGACTTGAAGTGTTTAGGATCCTAGAAAAAATTTATCAAAGAAATGGTACCTTAAAGTTGAACCATCATTTATATGAAATGTGCAGAATAGGTGAATCCATGGAGACAGAAAGTAAACTAGCGGTTGTCAGGGTCTAGGGAAAAGGCAGGACGGAGTGACTGCCAATAGGTAAAATGTTTCCTGCTGGGTGATGAAAATGTTCTGGAATTAGGTAGTGTGATGGTTTCACAACCTTGTGAATATAAAAACCACAGAATTGTACATGTAATTACAAGGGTGAATTTTATAGCATCTCAATTAAAAAGGGGCTTACAGTATAAGTAAGTGGTGAAAAAGTAGCTCATCTATTTACAAGTCAAAAAAAGTGATTTAAAGTTAGATTTGTGACATTGCACTGTATTTCTTTCTCTGATCTTAGGGATAATACACTTTATAGAAGTCAACTCCATTAATGCACAGTGTAAATTATTTCAGCAACTTTAGGCAAATATCCAGCAACATTTATGAATATCTATGAAGCTAAGCATATGCCTACCTATGACCTGATAGTTCCATATCTGGGTGAAATGACTGAACTAGAAAACTCACAAATGCTTTAAGCATAATGGGCAAAAACTGGGAACAGTTCAAATGTTCCTCAGCAGGAAGACAGATCCATTGTGGGATAGTTATGCAGTGGACTGCTACACACCAGTGAAAAAGAACAGCCTGCTGATGCAAGCAAGAACAACTCTCACAGACACTGTGGGAAGCAAAAGTAACCAGACACAACAGTGTACACATTATATGATTCCAGCTGAAGCTCAAGAACAAGGAAAACTTTACCCATGGTGTTAAAAGTTAGAATAGCAGCAGTAACCTCTTGGAAGGGAGGGGAAGTGTGAAGAGACACAAGGGAAATCTCTGGGATGATTACATGTTGATCTCGATGTAATATGTAAAAATTCATTGAGTTTTACACATAAGATTTGCATTATATTTCTATTAAGAAATGAAATAAGAAAGACAAAGTTTAAAAAAAATGTTTAGCCATTTAATATTTGCTCAATGAGTGCCACATGGAAATTAGCTACTGATTATTTCATTCGAGGACTATTTTTCAGGGATACCTCCAAAGGAATGTGTAAACTGATTAAGTAGGAGAAATGTATATATACATATTTAAAGATATTTTAATTTTTTCCAGCTTTTGACATTGTGAAAGTTGAAGGTGTACAACATGTAAAATTTTAGATGTTTTAAAATGTATGTCAGATAATTTTCGTGATCACAAAGACTTTGCTCTGGGGGACCTGCTGTCTAGTCCTGCATGGGGGCCCCTCTACTGGATCCTGACCTGGTTCAGGGGGATGTAGGATCCTGGAGGGGAAGGAGCCTCATAAATACAGCAGAGGCCACGAGGGGAAACAGAGTGAGGGTCTCTCTTCCCAGGAGAGACCCCAGGGCCCTGTGCAGAAGGGAGGCCGACTGAGACATGGAACGGGTTAGCTGGACTGCCCCAGCCCTTTGAAGGCAGACCAGACAGTGCCTCAGGGACAGGCTTGGCAGGTAAAAGTAGGCTGCTTACACATACAGGTTTATTCACTGGGGTCTGGCTGAGGACCTGGCATGGCCACCTGGTGCTGGCCTGAGGGGCTTACAAGCTGCCCCCACCTTCACTTACAGACCTGCCTCCTGTGAAGACCTTCTGCTGGGTGGCCACTCCCACAACGAATGGCAGCTCTCCCAGAAAACACAGCACACCCTCAAGGCCCGAGTCCCACACCAGGCTGACACCAGGCCTTCTGTGTGTCCAGGCAGAGCCCTCAGCCTCCCTGCCCTGGCCCTCTCAGTCCCTCTATCTGACCTTCCTCAGCCCACTGCCAGGGTGACCTCCCAAATGAAGACTCGATCCTGTAGTTTCCGTTTTCAAAATCCAGCATGAAATCCAAAGCCCTTTATGTTCTTGCCTACCTTTCTCATCTTTTCGGGACCACCATCCCAGAGCCACACTGGCATCCCCATGCCCCAGAGCTCTGGAAGTCCTGAACCTCCCAGGCAGGTGTCAGCTCCTCGTCCTGAAGTTCATTCTCCCCTGCCAACTCCTCCACTTTGCCTGACTCTCCTTTTCTTTCTGGAAGACCTAGCTTGAGCGTCACCTCCCCCAAGAGCACTGTCCTGTGTAGTTCAGGACGGAGGACCCCTCTTATGCTTCCAAAGGCTCCATTGCCAGGAACCTGGCGGGGAGGAAGGACTGGCATCATTCGGTTGCTCGTGTGTATCAAGACCACAATCCTCCAGTGGATCCTGAATGGCCACGATCCTGGCACACCATAGATGCTAAAAGATGTTTGTTGAATGAATGCCTATAAGGCTGTCAAGAGTAAGAATAGAAGACCGATAAATCAAGTACTGTCACCAGGGAGACTATGGTATTTAATCAGCAAAGATGGGCCCCATCAATTCTTCCCTTTCTGCACCAGCATGCTGCTCCACTTACCAAGAGGGCCAGGCTATTTTCCCTCCCCTTGAATCTGGACTGGCCTGCAGAACGTGGTGGGAAGAGACAGCGTGTCAGTTCAGGCTGTTAAGGGAAGCTAGAAACAGGAAGCTTGCCTCAATGTAGAGACTCTAGTCTGACTGCCCTGAGACGGCCATGCTGTGAAGAAGCCCAAGCTCGCCATGTTGAGAGTCTGTGGAAAGATGCTCACACATTCCAGCTGAGAAGCCAGGCGTGGGAGTGAAAAAGCCACCTTTGATATTGCAGTCCAAGCACACATCATGAGGAGCACAGCTGCCGGCTAAGGCCCAGGTTACAGAATTGGGAGAAGTAATGCAGTGTTGGTTTAAGCCATGAAATCCTTGCGGCACTGGGGCTGAGCGGGGACTGTTACTTATCAAGAGATAACAAAACAGATGCAATTGCTGGGTCACCAAAGATGAAGAGAGTGAATGCTACTTCGTTCCTTCACAGAACACACCAAAAGTTCACTTAATAAGCCACATGCCTGAAAGCTATAAGCAAGGAGAATCACAGCTGCCAAGTGGGTCCTCTAAGTTAGAAATACAGGAAGGAGCTGGATTTAAGCAGGGAAAGTTGGTTTCTTTCCCTATATGCCCTTTGGCTTTCCTACAGAAGGCAACTGATGAATATAATTACATTATACTCATATAGACACATAGACAACTAACTATCTTGAGGCTCAAAAGACAATGCATGGCCTGCACTGTGTGGCTGACCCGAATGTCCACAGGTAAACCCTGGGCCACCTGAGCGGGGGCTGTCCTACTCAAGTTAGCAACTGCACAAACAAAAAGTTACAGAGCCTGCAAGCAGAGAGAGCAGAAGGGCAGAGTTCCTGGCAACCCAGAAGTGTAGGAGACAAAGGACCCAGCGAACAGAGCAAGGTGGGCAGGCACCAGACATAGGAAAATGAGGTAAAACCCAGGGCTGTGGCCTGAGCCACTCTCATGCCCCTCAGATCCCGCACAGCGGGCCTGAGAGAGGCCTGAAGATCGAGACCCCGGGGCCAGCTGGCTGCACCCCATCCTGATTCAGGGACTAGCCTCAGCTTGCCTCTTGGGCTAACTTCAGTTGAGTTTGGAACGGTACCTATTCACAGTCTTTGTGTGCATTGCAGGTCCAGACTTCTCAAGAATAAAACAAGACTCTGCAGTATCAAATGTGGGACTCTGTGGATGGCATTTCCAAAACAGGTAACAATCACGGGGCCTCACAGCAAACTTCAGCTCTGAGTAAGACTGGAAAATATTGCCTGCGCAACAACTATGTAGATGCTTAAATGCATGCATGGTTCCTGATTGCACCACAAAATCATAAAATTATAAAGTAAAAATTGGGGAAAGGCTAGATGGGAAGGAGCAGTGCATTATATTTTCAAGATGCAGAGTAGAAATTTTAGGCTGGAAGTGATAATTTGGCTTTTGTGTCCTTGATTTTATGGATATGGACACTGAAGCCTGGGAGAAATGAAATATTTTGCTTCCAACCCACAGGTGCTCAGTAATAGGGCAGGGACTAGAACCCAGCCGCCCCTAATTCTTGGCCAATGTTCTTTCCACTACATTGACTTTTAATATTAAACAGCAAAAGGGTGTTTTTGTTATAGCCAGATGCCAAAGAAGCAATTAACAATTGGGTTTTTTATGGCAACAGCGGGCTGATTTGTTTGCAAGTCTGGTGTCTTATCTACAGCTGCTGGTTTCATCTAGTAAATCTCATACATGGCCTATAATTAGGGATGCACTTTCAAAGAGCTAGAGGGAGGTAAGGGAGAAGGATTTACCAGAGGACTCCTTTAATCAAAACTCAGGATCAGAAATGAACATCCAGCTGAATGCCTTGGAATGAAGATGATTAAAAAAAAAAAAATCAAACCACTGGGTCTTTTCTGAAATATTCTGGCCACTGCTAACTCGTCTCCCTTTTCGTGTTCCACGCCCTCCTGCCATTCTTCCTCCCCACCAATACCCATTCCTCTTGGAATCATGTTCTTCAACTCTCGTTTTCCTGCTTGAATTTGTGAATAAAACTATCTAAACTGCCCCATTCACATGTAAGAAAGTTCACCTTTCTTACCACCTTGAAAAATTTTTTTAAATTTCTAACCTTGTGTGTTTCTACAGCCTCTGTAGTATTTTAGTCCTGATTCAAACATCATTTGAATGTGTTTCATCATTTACATCATTCTTTATAAAAGAACTTTATAAGAGATTGTTTTTCCATTTTAAAGTTTCACTTCCAGGTCTCCTTATTTTAAAATAAGGTCTATAAACCTCCTTCATCTCTGATACTACAAATCCCCTAGGATTTCCCACACTTCTATTTCAGAGTTTAGCCTATTTTAAAAGGATGAAAGGCTGACTTGAGTGTGACCAAGAGATGATGCATCTCGAAACTCCTGGATCTCAGCCAGTGCAATCAGAAAATACGGCAAGAGCTCTCTTAGCAGGTTGAATGGGAATCCCCTCCCCACCAACCCACAAATGTATGTTCAAGTCCTCCCTCGCCTCTAGTACC